AAATGTCATCTGAACTTTTTTTTTAAAAAAAAAACCTTAAAAATATTTTTAAAACATTTTAAAACATTTTTTTGTGTGTTCCAAAATGGAATATTTGTATTTGAAAAAAAAATCCTGGAGTGTAATTTAATCCTAAAAACCTTAGCCTTTGTGTATATGGTAAATGTTTGTATTTTGCAGTTTCTGTTTTGCTTTTTAGATAAATAAAATGTATATGGATATTTTTAAGTCATCTTCGCTTTTTTAGATGAGTTTGTAATCACCTTATAACTGAAAAATAAAACTTTCCTTTATAAACCAGCTATGCTCTTAGATGCTTTTTTGGTCTTTGAGTAGCTCAATTCTTCCTTGAAACCTCTCACCCACTGGGATGGGGAGAGAATTGGAAAGGTAAAAGTGCAAAACTTAATGAGTCGGGATAGATGGGTTAATAATTTTAAAAAGGAGAAAAAGGGAGGGGGGAAAGGGGGGAGAAAAAAAAATCAAAACAAAAACCAGATGATGCAAAATAAAAGCATTTCTCAGTACTAACCAACTGATTCCCAGCCAGGCCAAGAGCAATGGCCACCCATAGCCATTCCCACCCTCCCCAGTAGTATTTCTGCACACCCCCATCGTACGGGTGGGGTATCCCTGAGTCCCCGCCCAATTTCTTGTGCATTCCCAGCCTACTTACTTGCTGGCAGGGCAGTGTGAGCAGCAGCAAAGACAAGACAAGACAAGACAAGACAAGACAAGACAAGACAAGACAAGAAAAAAGAAAAGAAAAGAAAAAAAAAAAGAAAAGAAAAGAAAAGAAAAGAAAAGAAAAGAAAAGAAAAGAAAAGAAAAGAGAAAGAGAGAGGGGGAGGAAGAGAGAAAGAAAGGAAAGAAAGAGAGAAAGAGAGAGGAAAAGAAAGAGAAAGAAAAAGAGAGAAAGAGAGAGGAAAAGAAAGAGAAAGAAAGAAAGAAAGAAAGAAAGAAAGAAAGAAAGAAAGAGAAAGAGAGAAAGAAAGAGAAAGAGAAAGAAAGAAAGAAAGAAAGAAAGAAAGAAAGAAAGAAAGAAAGAAAGAAAGAAAGAAAGAAAGAAAAAGAAAGGAAGGAAGGAAAGATAAAAGAAAGAAAAAGAGAAAGAAAGAAAGAAAGAGAAAGAAAAAGAGAGAATGAGAGAAAGAAAAGGAGAGAAAGAAAAAGAGAGAATGAGAGAAAGTAAAGAAAAAGAAGAGAAAAAGATGAAGGAAAGAGAGAAAAAGGAGAAAGAAAGAGAGAAAGAAAGAAAAAGAACAAAAGAAAGAAAAAAAAAGAAAATCCCCAACATTTTTTTTCCTGGTGGATGTGACTGATCATTAAGGCTCCTGATGGCCTGGTTCAGTCAAGCAGATGAAGGTTAAATCAGAAAGGCCTTTCCTTAAGTCCTGATGTGATGCAGGGAAAGAAAAAACCCAACATGTAGGTGGCTACTGTTTGTGACGCGTAAAGCTGCTCAGCATTTGTGCATCTGGCCCTAAGCACTGCTGAGGCTCCCATGGCCCATGCCCAGCTGTACTATAGCTGTCTTTATCTGGGGTTTTTTTTGGCCTGGTTGGTTGTTCTGCTGGGTGTGATTTGAGGCCTTTGTTAGGGATTTCTCCTCCCATCGGTGAAGCCTGCAGTGCCTGGGCTGAGCAGCCTGATACTGGCACAGTCAGCAACTGCAATATGTCATGTTTAAATAAATAAATAAAATTTATTAATTAAAAAGCTACTAAGAGCCGCAAGCTGCTGCTGAAGGGCTTCATGTACCAGCCTTCACCTGCCCATGGCTGCAGCTGGCTCCCTGAGCCGAGGTCCACAGGACACAAGGTGACATTAGCAGGCGGATACGCTGCCCACCAAGGTGACCAGCAGCATATACCAGGGGAGCAGCACCATGCAAACCTTGTGCACACACCGACACACCATCGGCCACATAGCACGAGTGTTCATGACGCCTGCCATTGCCCTGCCACCTCAGTTGGCTCTGTGTGGCTTTGGGAAATCCCCAGTGCCAGATGGGTGAAGTGCCTTGTTCTGAAGTCTGTACCCCAGGAGAGTGGCCAGAGATGGTAGATAAGGCTTGTTTATGTGTCAATAATTCCCCAGGTCTAACCAGGAGCATTTCCACACCATGCACAGCCCCTGACAATTCCTGCATTACCCACTTGGCCATGAAGAGTTGCAAAACCCAGCTCAGCCTTTCCTTGCTGATGAGCAGCGATCCCCTGTGGCCTTATCCAGGGAGTGTCCCAGCCTGCATTGCCCTCCCTAGGAGCACAGTGGTGCCCCAAACCCCTTTGTAAGAGCAAAGAGAAGAAATTCTCAACATAAGGACACAAGAAACTCTGTTCTGGGTTCACGCAGTCATCTCTTGGACATCTGGTTTCAGAGGTGGGATGATCTGACTCTCACAGCACAGCCCCCAAAAAGTCACCCAACTACAGGTGCAGGGTTCTGAGCACCAGGCAGGCCACCTCCTGCCAGCACATTGTCCTCCAGCAATCCTAACCCATCATCAGGGATTAACCGCAGGTCTGCAAAATATACCACAGCCACCATGTGCTTTGCTGCATTGCTGTTTTCTCCTGAAGTAGCCAAGGTTTAACCCAACAACATTTCAAATGTGGCCAAGTGAAGTTGAAAGTGATGCTGTAACCACATGCATGGGCATCTTCAGCTCTTACTGCTATAAGAGCTACAGCAAAATTGACTCCAAGTCCACAGTGAGGGAAGCCACTGGCCAGAAGCTGCACTGCCAGACAGTGGTGAGGAACAACCCCAGCCCCACACTAGTAGCCCTACAAGTAACAGCCCCCCCAGAAATACTCCCTGTATGCCATCCCCCTGGTCCTTAAAGACGTCTCCTAACTACGAGTCTTCTGGCAAGTTAAAATAGGGCTGGAAGCTGCCTCACTAACATCCTCCAGCAGAAAGAGACACAAACCAAAACACACACATTTCATTTCCTTTTATTTAATTAAAAAAAAAAAAGTCAGTCATTGCAATCCCATTTTAAGTACAGAGATTTACAAATAGGTCCAAAACAGGACTAAAATATTCTTTGAAATGCTGTACTTTTAAATATTGTGCTTTCATAGATACATAAGAAAATTAGCATATAAAAATAATTTACAAGGAATACACTCTAATATATGGATAAAAATACACATTTAAGTAATGCATTTCATCTTCATATCATTCAAAATGCATAGGAAGGGATACAAGGACCAAGTTTTTCTTCCTTTTTTTTTTCTTTTTTTAAAGCCTTTAATAAAAGTCTTCATTAAAAACCTATGAGAAGCCCCAGTGAGCTTCCACTGCTCAGAATATTGCATATAAAAAACACTTTCAGCTGCACTGTCAATGCTCCACAGTATCAATTATGGCACATTATCTAGTTGTGGCAGCAATGGTATGGGATATTGCATACTTGAAGAGAAAATGGCTACAATGACAAATAGCTGGATGGAGGTGGACACGTGTCTGGAAGAAACACCCTGCTACGTTGCGCTGTTGTGAAGGGACAGAGTCGCAAAGCAGATTGGGGACGGACAGTGGGGGGATGAGTTCTGGCTCAGCAAAGCAACAAACATGTCGCGTGTACCCATCCGACACCCTACGTGCACCACTGGCAAACAGGCATGGATGGAGGAACAGAAAGGGTGAGCAGGGAACAATGACAGTGGGTGCCAGGGCTGCAGGTCCCCAACCAAGTGAGCTCCTTGAGTGAGTCCCCCTCACCAAGTGAGTCCCCACTGTGCCCAAGCCTTCCCTGGGAAAGCAATGCCAGACTCATGCCACCACCAGGACGTGAACATCATCATAAAGTGCTAATACATGAAACATGGCAGGCAGATGAGGAAACGGATGCAAACAACACAGCCACTCTTCCCCACAGGGCTGGGGGCTCCCGGGAGGGAGGGGAGCGACCCCAGGGCATCATGCTTGCAAAGCCACGGGGAGGCCAGGGACAGGCAAAGGCAGGTGGACCAGGGGAAAGCAGCCAAACCCACATGGGCACATACACTGCCCAGCCCACGCAGGACACAGGACACACAACCTCCATCTAACGAAGGGCTTCTCAGGCCACTGCCTGACGGGAGAGTGTAAGGTGTTCTTAGTTCAAAGCATCAGGGACAGCCCTGGGAAGATCGCTGTTGTTTACTTGAGGGTGCAGGCCAGGTTTGCAAGTATCTCCATAAAGCCCATATGAACAAGGTGGCTGGGGATCTGGGCAGGTATTCAGGGCCTTTAGCCTTGGGTATGGCCTTCTGCTCTGTAATAACTGCTACAGCTCGGGTAACCACATTGCTCACGGGAATTGACGGCAAGATGAGGCTCCCCATCCCATCGCAGGATGAGCCAGCCCTGGTGGGTGGGAAGTGCAGATGAGGCTGGCAGGAGGCAGTTGCAAATATCAATTTTTGAATAAGAATTGCATCTAGCCACTCTCAAGCACATTTTGAAATGTCTTCTGAACAGGGTTCTCCACAGCCCTGCATCAGGGGTGCAAGGGGCTGTGGGAATTGATTTATCAGCAGTGTTTAAAGGATGGCGCTGGGCACAACAGAAAAGGAAAGGCGTTTCAGTCTTGCTGTATGCGATTAACTGAGCAAACAAGAAACATAATAGCACCATGTGTGTTTATAGGATGGCCAAGGCCTTTAGGGTGAGGAGGGTGTTGGAGGCAGGACCCCACACACCCCAGGGGCCGGGGTGCAGAGGGCTGCCTTGCCACAGAAGATGGTTGTGGATGCTCCTTCCTCCCGTCGGCAGCTCATCCCATCACCAGCGCTGCCCACGGCCTGAGATGCGCATCCAGCTCCGACCTCCCCAGCAATATTTGGCGGTCTACAGTTGACAGCTCACTGAAGACCCACCTCCCCACTTGCAGGTTATGGTACACACAGCATTTACAAATACCAGTGCAAAAAAGAGGAAAAACACCCCAAACACCACAATGGCTCAGCAGAGGCCCCAGGCGATGTCCACTCTGCTCCTGCTGCTCAGAGCGTCTGGACGCTCGCCTTGACCTCAGCTCCACAGGCCGCCTGTGCCGACAGCTCTCCGTTACCCTCCGGGGCAGCATTGGCAACCGCTGCCAAGGGGTTCCGGCTAATCACCAGGTCCAGCTTATCTCCAGCCTCCGAAATCAGGGGAACAGCCAGACAGCAGTCAAAGTCTCTCGTTCGGATGCGGTTTACCTGCCAGGATGGGTTTAGGATGTACCATGGGGAGGAACAACAGAAAGACCATGTTTGTTAGTCAGAAAATGCAAGGTTGGTGCTAAACCCACACCTGTGAAAACACACAACTCTTGGGGGTCCCTGATTTCAGGGTCACAGCAGACCCGGGGCATTCCTTCAGGCTGAGCACTTCCTTACTTCGCTGAGAAATTATGCAATAACTTGTCGAAGAAGGGGAAAAAAAATCTGCATCAAGCATAAACCCTGACCCCCGGTGTCTGGGACAGTCTGACAAGTATTAAACGCTGCAGGGCTCAAAACCAGTTCTCCAGTTCAAGCCTGTCAGAGAAAGGTTGCCATTTTCCATGATTTTTTTGCCATCATGGCTTTTACTGGCCTTAAATTTGTGATGTGGGGTATTCAGCACCCACAACAAATACAAACAAATACAACTCAGAACCTGAGGCTTCTGCCAGCCATTTTCCAGCTCAGACAGCAGTAAATTGAGACTATACTGGACAGTTTCTGCATCTGCTCTCTCCATTTAAATCCATCATTTCAGAGGAGTCTGGATACATTTCATGTGGGCTCAGAAGGCAGCTGCAAATTCTCTCTGCAGGATTCAGCAGTGGAAGCACTTTTACTGCTCTCTCTTGCAGACCTTCAAGCACATTTCTAGGCTGGGTCACCTGCAAAAACCACCCCAGCTCTCTTGCCTACAGCTACCAGAGCACCTGGGCTCGGTGCCATAACAACTCTGGGATGGAGGAGGCTGGCAAACAGCATAGGGAGGAGAAGGAGGGAAGGGAGAAAAGAATTTCCCACCCACCTTTGGAGCAAACATAATCCCTGGGGCCAGGTGTTGCTTCCTTATCTGGGTAAAGGCTGGATAAGTCCATGCAACTCTTCTATCCAAAACCCTTTCCCAGCCTTCATTTATAACCATGGAGCTGGGCTCTGCGACTGTAGCAGCGTCGCCCTGCCCTAGCTAGTGTCCACACAGTTGACTCAAATACTTCTCCTTACAGCATAGTAACTAAGGGCAATTTATAGACCACACGTGGCCAAGGAGCAATAAGCCAGGAGCTTGCTCTGCCTTTGCTCTACACCAGCCAGGCAGTTCCGATGCTGAGGTTCCATTAGTGCAATGCCATGCTCTGGCTAATCCATCCAGCTGAGAGGCAGAGGGTCTGTTACAGCTGGGACAAGGTGTTCCACTGGCCTTCAAGCACATCCCATCAGCAGTAGCACTGTGAAGCATCCTCAGCGATGCGTCTCTGTACTTCTCGATGGGAGTTGCCTGTAGCAGGTCTGCAATCCCTCACTCACAAGTCCACATGTCAACGAGATGCCAATCGCCTTGTCCTCTCGTAGGTGTAAGCCATGCGGCGCAGCATGCGGAAGGGGGGTGTCGAAAGTCTCCACACTGCTCTGTTTAGGATCTCGGGCACAACTCCCAGAGCACTTGGCACTCACAAAAAGCGACACATCCAACAGAAAGGCAGCCCAGAGCCTAATTAGCTTCTTGTTCATTCTTGCACCATCTTTTATTTGAAGCTGAGAAGGCATAATTGTATAGCAGCCAACTGGCTGGAGACCATAACAAGCTTAAACAAGGTTCCCCACAGCGCTGCCAGTTCTCCAGTTACCTGATGTACATAATACATTGGCTCTAACCCTACTGCTAACAACCCCCGCCTAGAAATTAGTAAAGCTAAACATCTTTCTGAGAGTTTCCAAATATGGTCACAATATCTGCATTTCCAAATGGTGGCAATTTTTCCACTGGGGTTCCACTTTCTCAGTTGCTGTTTGAGTTGCCCCAAAGCTAAAATAGTTGGTTTTCATCCATATAAAGCTCCTCTGCATTCTCCAAAATCCACCATGCTCTTCCTATCCCTCTGGTAGTCCAATATGCCCAGGTCACATTTATTACAGACTGTGCTTTTGACTAGAGTTCTTATTCTGTTTCTGCATCATCTATTTCAGATCAAGCATCTTTCAAAGAAAAAAATCCATGAAAAACACTTTGCTTGAAGGACGTGTTTCCTAGAAAACTCTTCTAGTTGTCAAAGACATGCACAGAACTTCATGAACATGACTTAAGTCCACATGCAGTTTCACGGGAACACAGTCTAGTTCATCCAAAAATCACCCTCTTACATGACAGGAAAAGGATTGAGGGTGAGTTGGGGAAGCAACACAGCTCTTCAGTTGTTCTGAGCTGCCCGAGCTCAAAAAGGCCAGTGCCAGGCCAGCTGTGTCCTGGAGTAGATGTAACCTGGGGGTACTATCTAGTGACTTCTCATTATAAAATACAGGTCTCATTGAGTGCTTGGTGGCTAACTGCTCACCTAGTTGACTAACTATTACCTTTCATTAAAGTTAGTGCTGCCATGGATGGGTCTCACTTCTCTCTTCCTCTCAGCCACTCATTCACTCCGTCCCAGCCTCCAGAACTGCATTTTGCATTTATTACCTGAAGGACTCTGTCATATGGCTTGAGGCCACACTGATCTGCTGGTCCATCCGGACGGACCATATTTACATAGACACCTTTTTCTAACAGGCCATCTGACACGCTGAATCCAAAGTCTTCACTCTCTGGGTCTTTGTGGAGTGTCATCTGGAGGGGCAGAAATAGAACACATTTTAATGCAGTGGAGTAAGAAGGAGATGTACAGGGTTGGCAGGACAGGAATAGCACTGGTAATGTGTGAGGACCTACAGCAATTTTGCTCTGGGTCTCCTGGGCAGATTTTTCTCAGCCTGGGCAGCTAATAAAGATTGAATCTTATCTACCAGACACCATCAGTTTAGGTAGATTGCATGGACAAGTGCTCTGGTGACTGGCATATAACCAGCCACACAACAGTCCCTCTCCCTTGGACGTGGAAGGAAATGCAAGCAGTGTAACACAGACTGAGCTGCTGTATTCACCCAAGGAGCAACAAAGCAAGTGTTATTAATGGAGCATCACCATCCCTGGCCCAAATTACACTGTGTATCCTCTGTGTATGCCAGACCAGCACATGAAAAATCAACTTGGTCACAGAGAATTTTCAATATAGTGTGTCAAATATGAAGACAGCTCATTTTTAATACAGCGCTCAGCAAGAACATCTAAATTTCTCCGTATTACTCACAAGTCCATTTCAGAAAATTTGTATCAACAAGTGCTGACATACTGAGGACAAGAACTGGATAATCTCATCACCCTTCCCTTGAGCACGTCACACTTTCACCTCGTCTAGAGGAGGGATGCACTGCTGGAAGTGAATCTTGCCACAGGGTAACACTGGAAGCCAGGGACAAATGATGCCCCAACACCACCAAAATCTCCCTTTGCCTCCCATGAACTGGGAGTGCATCTCTACTGTGAGGTGAGGTTCTAACACCATGACTGCATTCTTGGCTGGGTGTAAGGTCCTTGGGAAGAACAGTGCCCAGCAGCAGCCCACTCAGCCTCTACCTCATCTTCAAACAGAGACAATACCAGATGCACCAGCTGAACAAAGAGTCACCCTATAACATGTCTAATTATACAGCTCTCCTCCTTCAGGTATGAAGGAGTTCTATTTAAAGACACATTTGCCATGCCCTGAAGAACAAGAGCAGATCAAACACAAAAAAGTTGTTTTTTTCAGCTACCACAACTGCAGATTTTGTTCTAAAGTCACACTAGGAAACAAAAAGGCAATCAATTTTTTTTAAACCTCTCCAGCTCCCTTCCCTGCTTGCATTCTGCATCAGCAGCTTCTACAGTTAATTATTTCTAATTACCGTTGCCTTGCACCATGCTTAACCTGGCTATGTTCAGCTGGGTACTGAATTCAAACAAGTATCCCATTGCTGAAGTCCTACCATTTGTACTCCTTCAGGAAGGGCTGGGGGTGGAGTGGAAGGGGAGGGAAATTAAGTTATTTCTAAGTTATTATAATTTATTTTTTATAAGAAAAGTGGCCTACTGAATGGAACATGCCACTGGAAAAGGGCTGATGGGTCTCCACAAGACTATACTTTGTGCTCTCTTGTCTGTATCTGTAGCACCAATTAATGAACTCCAGAACACAAGAACCTGGAAATCGCAAACAATAAAGGGAAACAGCAAAGCACAGGTTTAAACCCCATGGAAGCATGGCAGCTAAATCCCATTTCTCTTCTGAAGAGGCCCCTTCCTCTTAACCTCAGCCTCTGGAAACCTTTGCTGCAGACGTTGGTGGGGACTAGCTTTAACAAGGAAGATTTTCTGGGGGTCCATCTGAAAAAAGGAGATTTTCTACAAGGTTACAAAGCTTCTACAGCTTTTATCATTGAGGTACCACAGTGCCACAGCCAGACCAACCCTTGGCAACACAGACCTTGTGAAACTCAAGGGGGGTAGGAGACATGATTTCCTGCATTTCCTTTTCAATCTTCTTCATGTCCAAGTTCCTGTCATTCTTCTTGGCAGGGGAACCATTGCCCTCAGTCTGTCTGTCATCACAGCTGGAGTTTGCTTTCCTTAGTGGGCTCAGTCCCGACGGGTTGACAGAGTCCAGGAGTAGCTTGTTGCCCTCCAGGCCCAGGTTGTGCACGCTCCCTGTCATGATGGATGCCTGTAGTGCAAGGGCATAAAGTCACTCTGCTGAGCCAGCAGCAGGAAGAGTTGGACCATGCAGCAACAAAAGGGGCACAGACAACAACGGAGGAGCACCATTGTTTTCATTAATCAGAAAAGTAAGTACCAAGAAGCTCTTCCAGTTAGCTATAAAAACCATTTCTAGACCTCAGGAGCTTGCTGCCAGATCTATTGCTGACTTGCTGCATGCTCTCCCACCCCAACATGGAGCTTTATCTCAAAAGGAACCATTTGTGAAGCATCTCTTTTTTTATGATCAATCTGAACAAACAGGGACAGGAATCTTCTTGGTAGTCAAGAAGGATGAACATCCCTGTCTCAGGGGGTCACAGAGGAAACGCTGTCTGACTGATTCTTCAGCCTACCCTGTAGGCTGCAGCTCACCAGCAGCATTGCACAGTGCTGGCAACGGCCCAAGGAAGTCAATACCTTGGACTCCACTTAGGGCAATTCCACAGAGAAATTAGGATTTTATCTGTCAGTAAATGGGAGCCGTCACTAAGCAAAACTGAGTTAAAAATATGAAATTAAGTAGTATTTAAGCTTGGTCATCCTTGATAGCACCCATTAAAAGATGCCCCTAAGTATATTCTACTCCATTAGGCAATGCTTTTCACCAATGAGATTACACTGATCAAAGCTAATGAAGGAGTCAAGAATCCAGTCTGTGGAACCTCAACTGGCTCCAGGTCACAGAGTCCATTTAAACAGTGTAATGAAAACTGTCATTTCAAAGTTCAGGCTCCAAGGGTCTGCAGTCCCATTAAATGTCAAAATGTGGAAGAAAGAAAAAGGTAGGGAGCAGATAGCAAAATTCAGCAATGCTAAATGTGGCAAGTCAGAGAGCAATTGCTCCTGTGCACAGAGGAAATATCATCTGACTAAAACTCTAATCAAGGCCCTGCAGCTCTTTGCTCCAAGCTGCAACAAAGGGGAATAAAGCAAATTCTGGTGGCACTATGAAAATGCCAGGACTACCTACATCATCCCAAATAGGGATGGATAAAATACAGGAAACCTTTTAGCTTTGCATGTTTCAGGTCTTCACACAAAAATTACTTAATCAGCTTGAGTTTGGACAAAACTCAAATACCTGCTACATGCCAGAAGGACGTTGAGTTACCACATACTTGAAACGCAGTTTAACAAACGGCAGTACAGCCAACCAGGGTACATTTGTTCACTGACCTCAGGCAGCCTCAACACCCCCCAGAACACCATGCCATGCCGTACCAACACCAGCATTGCAGAGCCAGGGAGGAGAACAGAAAGGTGTGTGCACGTCGTGCTACTGGCCTCCCTCATGCGCTGCAAAATCAGCCAGTACGCAATGGCATGCCATTCCCACGGCATCTGACTCCTTCTCTATCCTCAAGGTATTTAAATGCTCCTTGCAGCATCATTAGCAATTTGCTAGGTGCTTTGGCTTAGGTGCAAGGAGGAGAAAGAGCAGTTATGGACTTCTCCAGCCTGTGGCTGCTCCACATTATTTTTCCCCATGTCTTGGTTGCCCTCAAAGCAAAGTGGGGACACACGCTCCGCTAGACATACTGGAAAAAGCCTGTTTGTACCCATACCCCATAGTCTGCGAGTGGATTGCCACTGTGTGTGAATCTTTCCACAGGCTACCTTGGGTCACCTTGCATGACTCTTACTCTTTTTCAAATGTGGAGCATGAAAGGTCAAATTTAAAAAATAATAATAATTTAAAAGGAAAAAAAAAAGTGACTGTTAAAAAACCACAAGAGACCAGGAGCTGGGCCTTAGAAATCTGTGATACACCAAGAGTCCCAATGAACATCACACCTCCCACACCATAACTGGAGGAAGATGGGCACATGGAAAGGAGGGAACAGATCAGTGGTACTTTGGATTTGATAAAAGGGGAGTTGAAACCCATCAGACTTCTACTAAAAACACAGCACTTCCCTTCTGTCCCCAGAATTTTCCAAAATATTCTAGAAATGTTCTAAATACACCAAAACCCTAGAGGTGCTCAGCTTTTTATAAAATGTCTTTACATTTTTTAAAGCATTGTTATAACTGTTAAAGCTCCAAAGCCTTAAAAAAGCATGAATCAAAAGCCCACGCATCCCTGCGCCATGGATCCCTGGAAAAGGATTGGGCAGAAAGATATTTCTCTGTCCTGGTATCTCACAGTAACCTAACAAATCCCTACTTTTACATTTAGATGCCAGTCATTATGCAGAAGAGAAACCTCTATGCATCATTTCAAAGGGGTACTTTTTCTCAAGCAGTCAACAACAGTTCAGAAAGGTTGATAGTGGCTGCCTAAACTAATTTCTAAATACATTCAGGTCTAGGAAATAAGTGATCAAGGGAAGAAGTTATACTTTGTGAGGGCTGGGGCATTTGGGGCTTTGTGTGTTGGGGTTTTTTTTTAAGTCAGCATTTTCTTACACAGTTAAGATACTAAATACACTGTTTCGTGCTTCAGCACAATACATTTAATTGGGATTTCCTCCCTCACTTACAGTCGCTAAGGATCAAGGAGGAAAGAACAATTATTAAGTCCCTTGTCAACAATATTTTCACATATAGACCAAAACAAGACTTCCCTTTTCCACCTCCAATTATTCAGAAATTGCCTTTTCTCTCTGAAGGCTAAGCAATATGCAATTGTGCATAAAAACAGTCTCACTGGGGTTGATGGACAGCACAACCCACCAAGCTCTCTCCACTCCTCTGCACCCAGAAGGCAGGGGGACAGAGGGTCCCACTCCTCCTCCCAGGCTGAAGGAGCTGAACAGGGGAGGGGATCAGCATGGGTCCCATCCTGCTGGGCAGTTTTGCTTCCTGCTGCTCAGCAGTCTCAGGGGAGGCTTTATTTGCAACCCACGGCTTAGAAATCCAGGCTCCCCATCCTATAACCGGACACAATAACATGACCTCCAAAGCATGTTGGATAGAGAAAAGAGAAAGTGGTTTGTGAAGAGAGGAAACACCTTTATTTCTGCAGGAAGCAATTACTTTCTCAGATTTTTCCATGGGGAAGGCTGGCTGAAAAGCTTCCAATTACCTATTTCACTGAAACAGTTTCCGGCAGAGTGACAGCTGAATGCAAGATATATGTTTGGCCTGTCCATATTTGAAGTAAGCCAAGGCTTCAGTCCCAGTGGGGTTTTTGGGGGCTCCTTTTGCTTGGCCTTTAAGTGCCTTGGATAGAAGGTTTACCGTCAGATAGGGAAGGTTCGCCAACAGTCACATGAAGATTGCTGGCCAGCAACAGTTTGCAAAAAGAGCATAGAGTTCCTGGTGGGTAAGTTATCAGCTCAGGGAAAAAGCATATGCAAGCAACTGTCTAATGAGACATAGTTATCCATTAGCACAAACACTGACATGAATTAAACTTGAACCCTTCTTTACACCACTGGCAGCACAGGGACCCTACAGACAATTAACAGATCCAGGGAAACAGTCTAACATTTACGGTGAGAGCAAAACAGTCACATGAGCAGCAAATTCAGAAAGTGATTTACCTCGATCTCCCTCAAAAGTTCAGACTGGCCGCATGTTTCCAAATCCTCCAAAGCTTCTCCAAAAACACGCCAAAAACTATCCTCGTGAGTGGTCTCAAGGCCATTTTGGCGGTTGGGGTATCTGTTGTAACGTAGGAATCAAACATTGTCAGCACTCTTCTGCAGCGGGGTGAAAGCCGCAAGGCTACAGCAAGTGTCTCACCAGTAAAAGCAGAGACTTGAAGAGTCTTCATATACAAAAGCAAACAATATGAACTTTTCAGACAAGAGTCCGAATACGAGACCTCCATGCACTTACTAACGGGGCAAGTGTCCTTCAAAGGAAGAATTAAGTTGGTGTAGTAATGTCAAAGTTCAAAGGGTAAATTAAAAAGTGGTTGTAGGAAGATTGTAGGTTTAGGAAGACGTTTTGGTGAAATAGAGAAGTGAAAGAAAAAAGGATGCGTTATGGGTAAACCAGGAGCCTCAGAGACTGTTAGTACAAAGGCTGATGGGATAGAGCTCAGATCTGAGACACAGAACACCTGAGAAGAGAGAGAAAAACACAGAGGGTAACAGACATGGTGAGAAAATGATAAATACATTAGGTTTCTATGAGAGTAAATAATGCAAAGATGTATATAAAAATGATTGTGCTGGGCTGGACAAGTAAACACACACTACAGCCAGCAAAACGGACAGTGTCATGTATAACCCACACAAACCAAGTTTCATTTGCTTTGGGATGGCCAGGGAACTGAGCCGTTACTTTCAGGAGGTCTCTTTTCTTTGCTATGTAATGATCATGGCACTTACAGCCATGTAAAGATTGCCAATGGTTCTGTCTACAATGGAGAGTAAGGACAGAGAGAACCTCTTTCAAGCTGGTACAAACACGCATTAACATGAACACTGCGTGGGTCTTGCTGGGGGTTTTGCAATTTCCCACCTTTGAAGTTTCAGCGTCTCTTATCTCTGACCACAAGCCAGGTTCAATTCCTAGACTTCTAAAGCAAATAGCAATTAAACGTGCTGAAGTCCTCTGAACAAGCCAGAGAAGTAGGTGACACCAGACAGTACTTACTGAACACCAGGTTCTGTGCAAAACCCAAACCATCAGCACTGAGTTTAACAGGAGCCTCTTGAAGGAAACTCTCTGCAGTGTTAAATCAAGGTCATGATAAACCCACTAAGGTGTCATGGGGAAAGGGGACAGTAAAATTAGAGCAGCTCTAACGCATCTTCCACCCATGTTATTAGGGGCTTTGTGGACAAGGCTCCGCCTCTGCAACATCTGGTAGCATCTCTCATGGCTTAATGGTCATCAGTGTTGCAGATGCAAAGGGATGCTCATCCACCAGAGCCACTTAGCAAAATCAAAATATTTTACTTAAGTACAAGTCAAAGAGAGGTTGGTCTCCATTAAATATATCATGACCCCTTGGGCTATTAATAGACTTTTTTTTTTTTTTCAGATCTCTATTAACTGCAGTCTTTAGTACACACTTTGCTTTCCATACACTGGTTTAAATGGGAGTCTGTAGCAGCATTAACTTACACACACACATGGTTTTGCTCCTTCTGGGATCATGGCCTGCCTGGAGAGAACAGAATCTGACATATCTTATTGTATTTTAAATTTACCCCCTACCTTTCATCAGCTTTTAAAGGACAATAGCCTTTACACCAGGCAGAAAGGTCAAAAAAACACCCAGCAAGACTTTATAAAAACAAACCAAAATTTCCCTCCAAAAGGAATTTTCGATTCTTTCCCCTTACTCATTTCCTTCCTCTGCTCCCAGGTTCCCAAAGAGGCAAACGTCCCTTCCAGCTATCAGCTCCTTGCCTCTGCGATCAGCAATATAACAAACGTCCAGGACATGGATGAATCAGTACAGGCTCTCACACCACTGGGTCAGCAGGTTTTTCCAGGCTAAAGGCAGCCGGGGTTAGAAACATTTTGTTTTTCTCCCTGATAAAAAAGGGCTCAGTGGCATGAACCGTTTCACTCGCACTTTGACATCAGGACTCAAAGCCCTCATTAGGGACATGCAAGGTTTTGAGCACTCAGATTTGCTAACTTCAGCTGTCGGTGGCCTCGCCGGGAGGGCCAAGAGGGATCAATGACCTCTGAGAGCTGGCTCTTGCTGAGAGGCAAAACAAGAACAAAGTCTCAGCTGCTGCCAGCCTTCCTGCCAGTTTGATCATCTTTAAATAGGTGGAAATGGCCATGAGATGTTCTAAGGGTTTTGTTTGGACAAACAAAACTTAAGGAAAAAAATAAGAAAAAAAAAAGAACCAACAGTAACAACACGACACACACAACTATGGGGACTCTGGAGGATGTGGACAGGAGGGTTAATTACAAAGCAACGAGGCTTTTCTACCACGTGTGGCTCAGTGAGAGGCAGCCTCTGGCCAGGGCAGATCCAGCCGGATTTTCACCCAAAGCAAGGGGCAGCTGGAGACTCCTCCACAAGCTTGGGAGGTGTTGCAGGATTTCTCCCATGCTGACTGAGCCAGGAGAATAATTTGACCATGTTGACCTCAGTGTGACTTTGTTTGTGGTGTTGGAAGGGCCAAAATGTGATAGAGAGAGATGTCCAGCAACAGCTTCGGGAGATTTTAACTTGGACATGCAACACCAAGAGCTTTAGCTGGCCTTTTTGGCTTTGTGGCGTTGAGCTCTTGTGAAGCTGCATCCTTACTCAAAAAAGTCCGACCAACTCATGTAGGGACATCCCTGACCATATCTGCTTATTACACCTAAACTATGGAAATACTGCAGCCTTTACATGGCAGGAGTATGAGAACCTGTGGTCCAGCTGAGACCGCCCTAACTCCAGACACAAATGTCACCTGGCCATGGCAGAGGTGTCACAGAGCTACACTCAGGGTAACCTAGCAATATGGAGGTGGTTCAACAGAGCAGATCACCACTCTAGCACCCTTCCCCATGGCTGCCTGATGTCAAGCTGGGGACATAGCTGGCCACTCCGTCACATTCCCATGCCCTCTTGTCCCTACGCAGTGGCACCCATATTTGCAGATGTGCCTCCTTGCCTCCTCCCACCCCTCCATACCTGCTGGGCTTGTCCCAGTCATCTTCACTGAAGCTTCCATCCATGTAGGGGTAATTTTTCCTGGGATCCCCCGGAGGGGTGCTGCTCTTCTGCCTGTTGTGCCTCCATTCATGTGGATGGAGGGCTATGCCCACAGCCTGAGGTATGTACGTACCTAGGGAAGGCAAGAACAGGGGAGAGCAGTGGAAGAGAGAGTAATACCTTGTCAGAAAACCTTAAACCAGGAGACCCTCCATCTTGAAGTCCCAAACCTGAGGCCATCTGGATTGCATACCACTCCGTTTCAGCCATCAAGTGCAGGTTATGCTTCTCATCTCTTCTTGCTTTAACCAAAGCAGTTTCTCCAGATCTGGGACTACATATACTCACAGATGCAGATCCTATCACCATCCAGCTCCCACCTTAGTTAACTGCTCCTGTTTCCATGCTGAACCCAACAGAAATTGTGCTGCCGAAGTAACCACCTTTAAATACATTGAGTCCTTCAAAGGGTAAAGAGAAGATGCTGCCAAGCCTCCCTCAGCATGCCCAACCCCATTTGTCTTGAGGGATTTGGAAGCCTGAATTCTACTAGGAAAAAAAATAATCTTAATTTAGTTTCTCAACTGTCTTTGGGACTTAATGGACAGCACAAAAAAAGGTGATAGGATATAGAAGGACAGCAGCAAAGAAACTGCATCCAGGGCAGCCTGATGCAACAGCCTCCCTTCAACAAGGGTGATGGTGCTGAGGGTACCTGGTGGTGGTCACCCACTCCGGTGTGCTCAGCAGTGGTAAATGAGGAAGAGCCAGTCCTGATCTCTTGAGCTGCCAGCCAGTTCCCACAGCCGGCAGAGCCCTCCCGTGTCCTGGGGATGAGCTGGTGCAGGTACAGAAAACTGCCTCAGGGACATGTGCGTGAAACGCAAGGAACAGGAGGAAAAACTCGGCTTGCCTGAGAGAAGGGGAGGCTCATCTGTATCACATTTGATAGGAGATCAGTACAGACTGTCAGGATGAAATCAGACAAGTCTTGCTATGTCTGCCTCTGAGGACTCCCCTGTATAGTGGTGTCTTACTCTGGAGACACAAATCCAACAGTACCAAGTCACAAGATCCCCAGGTCTCATGAGGAGCTTCCTGGACAGAAACCTTCCAAAACAGAGTACTCCTCAGCAATGTCAGTGCCATCTGCAGTGGAAATAAATCTCCTGAGTCCCCTGCCCACCTCCTGCTGCCCATTCAACGTTTCAGAGAAATCCTCACAACCTTTCCAAGAAACACTGAACACTTCCATCACACACTGCGCCAAGTGAACAGGAAGAGGTAACGAAGAAACACATAATTAAAGGAGACTTGACCTCCTAAACAGCTAAGAGCACTGGAAATACCCAAAGACAACGCCAGCACTTTCTTTGAAAATGCCAAGACCTGTTATTTCATTTAGCTGAGTGCTTCCTCTGTGTGTTTTTAAAGGTTAAACTGCTCTGGAAAAAGTCCCAGAAAAATGCTTGCCAACATCTTCCAGCCATCAGGAGTGTTCACTGCCTGAGAGAGCAGAACAAGGTCCCTGGATGCTGGTCCCTGCAGCGGGTGGGCAGCAGGTTTGGGCTGGGTGCAGGGGATCAGGGACCGCAGGGGTATGTGTGCAGAGCTGTCACTTGGGTGCCACCGGTTTCACCTCCTCCTTCCAGGGAGACAGGCTGGTTCCCTGGGATTCAGAGCCACCTGGTGGCATGTTCCCACCAGGCCAGCACAGCTCCCTCGCCCAAACTCTTCCCTGAGTGTTTTACTAAAGCTGTGGATTAATCTAAAGCCCACAAGCCTGCAGAGCCTGATCTGTAGTTCTCTATTTAGGGTTTACACTAAACCCCAATCTCCAGGCTCTGTGCATCCTGCCCTTTTGTGTCCATCCCATGGGAAACCCCACATGTCCTTCTCCCTACCCTCCAGCATCCGTTTTCCCAGTGAGCACCAGCACAGCACTGTGCAGCCAGATGTAATTAATTACCAGGGAAGGCGAGAGAGCCCCTGAAGCAAAGGTGCAGTCTATGGATGTTGGGAAACTTGGCATCAGCCCTACTACACAGGGGCTCTCTCACTCATTCTCAATTTACTGGTAAAAAGCAATCGCTTTGATAAATCCAGTCTCCAACTTGTGTTAACATTTAATTAGATGGAGAAGCATTGCAGCATTATGAAGGCCAGGGGATTCCTCCTTAATGAAGCCTCCAGTCCCAGCTGCACCCAGATTAAGATTTCAGACCAACAGAGGCTGAAGGAAGACACAGGCATGGTGCAAGACACACACACAGTGCTGTCCCTTGAATTTCCTAAGTCAGAGTGCAGTGAGCACAGGCACGTGCCTTGCTCAGCACATTGAAGGTGCTTTGCAGCACTGCTCCTGCAGCACCCCTCTCTGTTTTCACATTCTGTTACAGACAGCAGTCTTTTCACCAGTTTCCTCTGTGGAGGCGATTCAGGGTTTTGTTTTGCTTCAACATGGGCTAATACTATCTTATGTCACTAAATCTGAACTGGAATAACTATTTTCCAGTTGTTCCCTCCAAGTAAAAACACATTCCCATGACTAGAGCATCCTCCAATCCAATTCCATATATCTGCCAGAAGCCACAGCTGAATAAACCTGGCCTTGAAGACATGTGTTCATCTGATCACTCATTAGAGAGTTAGAGATACTTTCTTGTAGTATTATCTTAATTATTTTGTTAAGTGAGTGCTTCTAGTCACAAGACATTCTTCTGGATTTTAAAACATCCTGAACAGGATTAATATGCCCTGCATGGCCTCTCTGGAGAATTAAAAGTGAGCTATGGACCAAATACTCTGCAAGACATATGGACAGTGAATACTTCCTCTAATTATGTGAATTATACAGTGCTGGAATGGTTTTGAAAATGCTGTGAACAGTGTGATGCCATATAAGCCAGAAGAAAATGTGCCAATAAAAAAATTTAAAACAGATATATCAACTCAGAGCACCACATGAGTGCACTTTAAAATACAGTTTGTTCCTTGCTGGAAGTGAGAAGCCATGCAAATACTGTCAGACCACAGTCTTACGCTCATATTCAGTCTCCAGACACGTTCAGAGGCTCTGCCTGTCTTCACCATGGCCCAGAGACTCCTAAGAAAAGACAACCCTGACTTACCTTGGCTTCCATACCCAGCATCAATGCCAGAGCCATCCCAGGACTCCATAGCACTGTCCACGCTAGGAAGTGTGGTGGAGTATATCTCAGACAGCTTGCTAGTTTTCTGGGAGTCCGTCAGTTCATCTTCTGGGTCACTCACTTCATTTATACTCCCCGACTTCTTGGGATAGGATTCTGAAACCAGAACATACTCTTTAGCAGGCACAAAGAGCAAGCCTCAGGGAAAGGCTTATGGTGATAAGGGGAGCAAGCCCAGGTACTTTAAGTCTTTTGAAGTAGCTGAGAAAGGCCTGAGCAACACAGTTGAGAGGATTTCATGGAGTACTCTTATCTCAAGCTGAATCGAGAAAAAATGTCCCAGTTTTTAGCATGTTGAATATAAGGAGCAACAATGGGGATTTGAGGATTCCCAAATACAAGAGAGTTGAGACCAAGTGCATCTTCTTGTGCTTTTGGAAGCTTCCTCTGGACAGCCCTGCCCAGAGAAGTGTTGGCCTTTGCAAGCAATGGGTTTTGAGAGCAACATCTCTCTGGTCTGAGAGCGCCTTCTTTTTACTCTTTTAACATTTACTTCCAACCAAATTGCTTCTGGAATGATCTGCCTTTGAGGATAGGACCCAAACAGTGCCAGAGCAGCACCTAGTCAGTGTGCTGGCTGCAAATTTCTGTTACAAGCAGATGTTTCAATGAGATTCCAACAACCATGCAACCTGGTCCCAAACTACAGCAGATGAAGTTAAAGCCCCCTTCTAGGATTGTACAACCTCGTATCAATTCAGGGCTAATCACCACCTCTCCGAGAGTCTCCCGTGCAGTCTCACTACAACAGTGGAATTCCTGAGCATGGTATTTTGAGGCTGAATTTCCCCTGATTAGTGATTGGAAAATAGAAAGCTGAATGTGGATGATGAAGCTCAGGCATTCCCTTTCATTATTTTAGTAATAATAGGTCCTTATTATCATCATATCAAATTCCCTTTCAGACAAAACCTGTACAAGGAATTGTTTCTCAGCACAAGCATTTCTTTGTACTGAATATTTTGAAGTCCTCACTGATTAGATATCGTGTTAGCCATCCACGCCGTGGATCTCCGATTCGCAAACGCTGGGATAAAAAGCCCTCTGAATGTCTGCATTTGTCAGTGAGGACAGATTATTTTACCAAGCAAAGGCCAGTGTCCTGAAAGTCCCCATTTTCCAAGCACTGAGAAGATTGCTCACCATGATTAACTCAAGATTACCTTGAAATTTCAATTACACCTGCTTCATTCTCAGAATTATTAACTAGTCTCCAACAAGCACTTGCATGTCAATTACTTCAGCGAGTGGCTGTGACAATGCCATGTTAGCAGGGGGGAAAAAAAAGAAAAAAAAAAAAAAAAAAAAAAAGAAGAGTATTTCAGACCAAGGATCAAAACACTTGGCTGCAGTGAACGAGACTGGGGTTTCCTGAGGAGGAATCAATTCCGCAGTTCTACCTCTATTTGCTAAGTCACCACTCCCTGCCTGGCCTCCCTCCATTTGTAAAATAAGTGCATTGCCACACATTTGCAAACTGCTTGGACATCTACAGAAGTGCTATGTTTAAGAGTGATGCCACTTTTCCAGATGCAGGACAGACATCCCATTGGCCACACTTGCTTGGAAGAGCTTTTTCACTTGATTTCTTCCAGTTCCTGCAGCACTGCGGGCCACTGGTTGGGTAGGTCCAGCTAAATCTAGAGACTGCAGAAGCATGGCACAAAACATATACTGGGTGTGGGGAGAGACAGAAATGGAGCCAGCATGTACCAGCTACTACCAGAGCTTGATGAGAAAGCCTCTGCTTGGCTGTGATTATGCAGTCAGGGAGAAAAGTCTGCATGTTCCTTGGTTTCACCAGCCCCCTCTCTCTGTCCCCCCAAAAGTGGCCTGCCTGTACTAAGTATGCTTCTGCTCTTTGATACCATGTCGAGAAGAACAGCTTCAAAGCCACAGGGAGCTTGGCAGGGAAATGCAAAGGTGATTTCTAGAGTGAAGGTAGATGCTTTGAAAGATGATCTTAGGACCCTAAGCCAGGAAAAGGGGCATAAAAGATTTATTGCCAATCACTTTCAAAAAAGTTGAATTAAAGGTGAGTTGTGGTTTGTTGGGTTTTTTTTTTTCCCATGGATTTCACCAGCTCACAGTCCTCTTGCTCATTTTGGGGGGTTATATTAAAAAACAAAAAACAAAAAACAAGCCAACAACAAAAAATAACTAGCACTCTTCTAATTTTAAAAGCATCTTCTGCTTCACTTCTGTGTGAAATACACAGACAGGAAACAGCACAAATAGCACAAGGTGTCAATCTGAAGAAAAAAATTAATATCGCCCATAAAACCTGCTGTCTAATCTCTTCCCAGTACCACAGAGAGTCCCTGGGTTGCCGGTTTTTAAATCTGTGAGTCAGAAGTCAAAAAAACACCCACCTTTTCCCTCTGTCCCCAGCCATGCCTCTGACCACGCTGCCCCATCTCACCTTCCACAACACATGAAAGAAAACCCACAGCACTACCTACTCCATCACCCAAGGGCCATGCTGGGGTGCGCCTTTGCCCTCCCGCCCCAAACCTGGCTCCTCAACTCACTCTCTGTCTGCTTCTTGATCTTCAGAGTGACCGTCTCTCCCGCCATCTGCAGCAGGTGAATGGCTTCGCTCAGCGGTTTGCCCTTGAGGCTCACATTATTAATTGCTAATATCCGGTCACCGACGTGGATGGCTCCAGTTCTGGAGAGAAAAGGCACTGTTAGAAACTTCAGAGAAGCAATTTGCCTCTGTGAGACAGGCCATTAAGTTGTCACTTGAAGCAATAGCATATTAACTCTCAGCACTTTCAAATATGTCTTGGTGTCCCCTTGGCACGCTGTATACTCGTGATTTCCTCTTCATCACCACTACCATGAATCTGGTGCCTCTGGAATCTTTTACCTGTGCACACACATACACATACGCACAGGAACATAAGCACTCCTTGGATCCCAGGCCCCTCAGGAACTGGTACTGCAGACTAGCTTACAGTCAAAACTCTTCAAAGCAAAGGGGTCTATGTGCTAAAAGCACAAGCATTTCCAGTGTGTGATGTCCACTGGTTGTTACACATGGAACTGAAGGGCATGTTCACACTGATGGAAAAAAATGATGAGAAAAACCTAGAAACCCATATAAAAAAAACAAAACCAAACCAAAATGGCCTAACACACACAGATTGTGTGAGCAAGCATTAGCCGAACCAGTTGCAGATCAGTTCATGATAATTTAAAGTTCACCTCTACACAGCTACACCACTGTGACTTTCTTAATCAGGACCAGCACTCTAGAAGAGGTTCCTGTGTTTTATTGCACAGCCACATTCCAGCATTGCCTTCTGCTCCAAGTTCAATAAATCCTCAGGGGCATCAGCAACAACCAGGAAAAACTAACAAGTCATGGCAATTCTTCCCCCTTCTCTCCCATCCTTCTGTGTCTGCTCACAGACAGGGGCTCACTTTAACCTCTCTCCATGTTTGCTGCAGCTCTGGGAAGAGCAGTCAGGACAGGATGTGTCCATCACCAGAGCTGGTAACTGAGGCAGAAGCTCGCAGTCGCTGCTGCCTGGACCGATCTCACCACACTCACGCTCCAGCTCCCTAACGCCAGCAAGTGAGAGCAGCAATCCTCTCCTCCTCCAGCCGTGCTGTGAGGTTTAGCTATCAGGGACCTGTGTGACCGAGCCAGGAGGAGATGCAAATGGGGACTGAAATACCTTTTTGTCCATGGCAACATGCCTCACTCAGCTTATGTCTCCAAACTGGACTGCTGCTCCTGCAGAATTGGGATTTGATATATTGTCACGGGCACAACAGCTACTTGTCTTTCCCCAAAATAAGAACATTTTGTAGACAATCTGCTGTGAAACTTCTCCTGCAAGTACATCAAATTGGGAAATGTAGCCAAACAGCAGGCGGGACTGTTCGGTCTGCTGCTGCTGCCACCGAGACACTTGGACAGTGCCAAGAGGGTCCCAACCAGCCACTAGATGTCTGTCTTGTCCCATCCACCTCAGCCTGGGAAAACGTGTGTTAAAATAAATTACAGCTCAAACTGAAACTACAGCATTTGTCTTAAAAGTTTCATCTGCCTAGTCGGAAAAAAAAAAAATTCAACCTTAACTATTAGCAGTTTAAAGGCGATGCTCGATGCTTCACTCGTTGTAGTGGTTCAGTATTTGAGGGTCTCCTGCTGTAGCACTGAACCCAGCATGGGGATACATGTCCTATCCAAGACATCAACCCAGTTGCCTGCCTCTGAACAACATGACTGCTCTGCAGAAACTGTGAAAGTCCCTCAGCAGTGAAAGATATAGAAACAATTAAAGAGAAAGGTCACATTTGGACAGGTGTTTCTCTTCAAAGGGGAAAAAGTAAATCAAAGTCCAGTCCTCTCATCTGTCCATCTCCAGGCACTCCTGTGAGGACAAACAGGTAGAAACCAAACAGGAGTGACAGAGAAAGCTATTGACCATTGTGCTTCTCCATCATCACCAACAATCCTTAATCCATCTCAAACAAAAAACAGCCCAAGGAGCTGTGTGTTTCATGTCCTTTCTCATGCAGAGGACACATGCAAGAGCAGAATCAAGCAACAGGTAAATTGCAAGGGGCTGCTGGCACTTTCTAGTAAGTGCTGGAGAAGAGATGGCTGCGTGCACGTGGTAGGGATCTACTCAGTGTGTGGACAGGGCCACCATGCCTTCTCCCCTCTGCCAACATCAGTTGATGCTGAGCACTCCTGGACAAAACCTTCCTCCAATACCAGCAATAGCCCAAAATTGCTCTTGGAGAGCCATTACACTTTGACCAGTATTGAACAATATTGTTCAGTCACACTTCCTACCCCAAGAAGGAAAACAAGTCCCATAGCCCAGGCCCAAGCTACCCGCAGGCACTGCAGGAGGGGAAACAAGAGACTAATGTGGGAGAGAGCCACCACTCAACACCAGCCCAACAGTCTGAGCTGCCTTTGTAGGTTTCTATATGATCAGACACGTACAAGGAGAAAAACGTTCAAGGTCAAGATAAAAACCAAGTCATCTGCATCTGAAGCCTTTTCAGCTTAGACAGCCTGTCATCCACTGTGACAGTTGTGTGACAGATCCCAGAGGACATCTTGCCTTCCCCATAGCCAAGTGAGTGGCTTGAGCCACAGCACAGACCTTCACTCATGCCTCTAAGAGAGAGGCCAGCCTGTCCCCGTTATCAGACATCAGGATCTGGCCCACCCCACACCAGCGCTGATGAAATATGTCCTGTGCTCCAGCAAAAGTCAGGCACAGGTTTGGGTTCAAATCCCTGTCCTTCAGAAACCTGTGCCACCCTTCAGAGCCTGGCTAAGAGCACCTGTGGCTCAGGGAATGGTAGTGATGGCAGCAAACGGACAATTTAGGATAACACTAGGACCACCTCTCTTCCTTCAACAAGGTCAACCCACTCCCTTCTGTTACTCCCAGGAGAAAAGTATGTACCATCTCAGCAGAAAAATACGCACCTTTCCTGCAGGCAGCCTTCATCCCAGCACTCCTCACCCTCCCCACAGGGAGCCAAGGTTACCCACAGAAATCCCTACACCTCCATCCCCACGTCATTCCTCTGCGCAGGCACCGTTATTTGTTAGCCTGCTACAATGAATGTGCTGAACAGCTTCATTGCTGTTCTCAAAAGGCTTTTCATTCCTTACTGCCTGCCAGCTCCTGATCAAAATTCAATAGTTCCACAGCACTTGCTTGCACTACATTTCTTTGAGGAGCAGTCACCGATGCATATCCAAGTTCAAAGGAGAAACAGCCATGGCACTGCAAAGGGAACTGAGATCAAAAAAGGTATGAGACCATCTTCTGAGCCTGACAGCGTTTGGGCTTTCTGTCCTTAACCTGTCTCATGCTGGGTTGCAGGTACAGTGCAGAACTGCTATGCAGAAAAGCCTTGGATACTCTATAGCTATTATTTTCTAGGGAAAAAAGACTGAATCCTACAGTGGCAGGCAGCAATATAAAACCCTGCAAGAAAAGAACCATTAATACGTCCATCTCCCTTCCTTACTTCTCAGGAGACACTGATCTGCTTTCTGTACCAAAGGAAAGCAATGGACATGTGCAGCAGCGTGCGTGCTGAGAGCTCATGGGACCCAATGCAGAAAGAGGCACTGAGTTGTTTTACAGTCCAGCTAAGAGGCAGTGTGGCCTTGAAACAGAAAGAACCAAAAGGCCAGATCTGCAGTCAAAAGTCCCCAAGGTCTAACACTTTACATCTATTTATTCAAGGGTTTTTTGCTGCTGTTCTGTCTGTCAAGCAGCACAGGGTAAAGCAACCCTATGAGAAGCATGAGTCAAGGCTGCTGAAACGATCTATTTACATGTCACAGGTACCATATAGACAGATTAATTAAGATACAGGGTATGACTCAGTTCCACCTTATATTCTCAGCAAAGTCCTGATCCTATAAATCCCACATATGCACATATATTCATTCAGACATAGGCACAGTCAACCTGCCCAGTTGCTGAAAGTAAATCTACATCTACATTTAAGGAGCATTAATGCCTGCTGCTTGAAACACACCAGTCCTACACTGAGATACCTCCATACGTAACAGACTAACCACAAGTAAGGATGGGTCAGAAGAACCCCCCAAGATCTGTGGTTTTAGCAGGACACACCACTGTCTTGGCCATAAGCCACAGTTTATCAATAGGTGAGTCCTGGACAGGTGTCTTTGGTGGTTTCATGGGCAGGTTGGGTGCTCTCCTGATGCCAGATGTGCATGGGAAATCACAGATAGGAAGCATCTCTGTGGAAGAGGGGAGGATAAATACCTTTTCCTGGCTGCAGCATTCAACTGACACACTGGATCTGACTCTTCCAGAAGCATCCTGCTTTGAGCCTCACTTATTGCCCTAAGAGCACAGCTCCAACCACCCCACATCTCCTGCACGTGGGTCTGCAGAGCCAGACTGGCAGGGCTGTCCCTGCTTCACAGTGCTTGGTACCTTCATAACGCCTTTCCTTTTTAGCAGGGTGCAACACCTAAGAAGAGTTTACAGCAGCAGAGGAAGCTTTGCAACCTTCAAGATCCATTCCCACATCAATTCAGCCCCTCTGTCCCCACACCTCACCTTTCTGCCAGGCCTCGTTTAGTCAAGCCTGAAATGACAATAGGATCAAAAGGTTCCTCTGTCCCGGAGATGGTTATTCCCAAGGGGCCGCCATATCGTTTCAGTTCCACTGTGTAGATAATAGCACCCGTTGTCTCCTGCTCATCTGAAAGAGAAAACAGGAATGATGAATTTTTTAATTAGCCATATGAATGAGGCCCTAGGAAAGACTTGCAGCATTTAGAAGGTCTTCAGCCATGCTCACATCAAAAGGGATTTTAACCTTCCAGACTCCATTTAAGGGCAGAATAACAAAAATAGACTATAATCAGTTGGAAAGTGGTAACTGGACAAGTTGCAGCCCTTATCTTTGTTGGTTTGCACTACCTATTGGGAAATGTCATTACAGTGGACAGGCACCAGTTTGCATCAGGATTTCTGTACCAGAGTTATCTTCATCCTTCCTAATCTTCAATTTGACCAGGTCTTCACACTGCCTTAAAATCTGCACAGCATCCTCCATTGAGCAATTGTCGAGTCGGATGTTATCAATGGCTAACAGCTTGTCTCCTGGCTCCAAGGTTCCAGTTCTATGTGGAAAGGAAAAGAAAACTAAAAGTACATTTGTATTTGCCTTTCAGATCCTGCAATGTATTCAATTCTGCAGAGGTGATGACAATATTAACTTTTTACTGTCCTTGATCTTTCCTGGGAAACAACCACGAATTGAATCTGGGACGACTATAACTTAAAGAGAGGAAGTTTGTGTATAGAGCATGCATGAACACGGAACAAGGCAAGAATATTAGATATACAGCCTGGGTAACCTACAGCACTGAAAAACGCCTGATGTTTAACTGACAGATATTCTACTTTTTATCGAAACTCCTGTATGAGCACTCTTAGAAACGAGCCCTCTGGCAGCACTAAATTCCTCTGAAAGCCTTGCTATGAGCTGTTAGGATCAGAGGTGAAGTCAATAAATGCTGAATTATTTGCTCCGTTCTCCACCAGTGCCCACAATTCACTCACCCTGTTCACCTGAGCAGGAGCTGAGACAGACCAAACTACCTGATGATCCATAGCATCTTACGGAATATATAGAGCCCTTTACCACCTGCTCTTAAATGCTAAACTTCCATCTCCTACACAGTCAGTAGAACTCTGAATTAGCCACCTTCTCCATTAGCTCAACTCTACTTGCTTCAACACAGACAGTTTTTATTGCAAACCCTACTGTGGTCTACGACAAACCTCTACGGTTGAGAACTCCTTGGATGCTGGCAAAATTCAGACCCAAGTGCTACTGCTTGGGCTTCATTCTATCGCTTATTACTGGGCTGGACCTTTTGCAATGGGTTTGGCAGATGGGAAATTCTGCACTCACCTATGTGCTACGCTCCCCTTCTTGATGTCAGAGATGATCAAAGGCTCCCCAGGCTTTCTGCTTGCAGCTGCAAGAGACACATGGGTACAAAGCTTGGTATTGAGTCGGCTATCTAGGATGGGGATGGTTAATGGGGAGGAGTTGTAAGGAAAGGGAATTTATATTCCTGTGACAAGATGAAGTTTTACACTTGAACTGTGGAAACCACAACAGGACAAAAAAGAAGTGAATCCCTGCAAATGTTTGTTGGCTGCCCTTTGCCCAAGTTAGCTAGCTGCTTCCTTCTGTATCCTCCTGAAGGGGAGCATACATGGTGTCCAACAGCAAGAGGTGGGATTGCTGGACCCCAGCACTGTTAAACACCTGCTCGCCCACACCTCTGACACGAGAGACAGCAAGTGAGTCAATGGCTATGGCAGGATTCAGACGTTAGCACTGCTGCCTAGGGAGTACCTTGCTCAGTGCTGTGGTTAATAAAAGAATTTCTGTGGTTTTGGAGTAAAATGGGCGGGGAGAATTTACAGGTGGAAAACAACCTAGGAAGAATTAGATAAAACACTGTTTTCTAGCTGGTTCAGCTCCCCAGGCCACTTGACCATATAACCAAACAGATTGGGGCTGGTCTCAGTGATGGAGCTGAAAAGGGGTGATTTCCTACTCTTCTCTCCTGCCCAACCCTGATAACTTTTTCAGCCCCCAAGAGATGCAAGTACACATCTCTGGGAGCATTTGCATTTTAAAATTTACATGCAAGACCTGCTGCTCTTGAGAAACTCAAGTGACGTTTATGACTCAAACCCCTCCTGACCTCTCTGCCACCCACACACCAAACATACGCCACAAGCATCCATCTCACCCTATGTCACTCCCTCCTGCCTTGTTATGGGAATTGCATCGTCTCATTTAAAGCTGACGGAGCTTCTCAGCAAAAACTGCGTGGGAAAGAAGAAACCTCACAGCATCTGAACATGTCAGCTGCAGGTCAGAGATTAAAATATCTGTGAGGCAGATCACAGATTTAATCATCAACCACACAGAGACCCACCTGCCTGAACAGCAGTTAGAGACCACTCCAGAAAGTCAGACATAAAGGAGTAAGTGCTTCCTCTTACCAACCTCTCTGCACTAGATTTTTCTGCTGTTTACATTCATTTATGAGATTTACAAACATATGTGCTAACCCATCACCTTTAAGGATACCCTCTCCCAGATATAACTAAATTTTCTGTACTGAACAGGGAGAAAAGATAGCCAACCTCAGTCATAACAGGGCTGAGTATAATAGGTCAGACACCAAAGAGCAGACCATGGCTGATTTTATAATAGTCATGGCAATGACTGCTGAATGATACAGACCCTGGAAGAATTATTTTCCCCATCTCTTACTGCAGTGTGCTGCCAGGCAATTCTGGTCTGGACACTCATGTTCAGCTTGTGGACAGAGGTTGAAGAGAAGCAGATGGGTTGTAGAGATTCACCGACAGCTTGTGCCTATGTTTAACCTGTCCATGTCATGGACCAGCCAGCAGATAGACCGACACATGCTAGGCAGAGTTGAGTGGTGGGATGGAAGGACAAGGTGCAGGTTGTGCAGCTAAAATCAATGCAGAAACCCCCTCTCTGATAGATGGGGTGTTAGGCCACACACCAGGGACTAATAGCACAGTGGACAGAGATGTATGGCCCTGTTATTACTATTGTTCTCTTTTTCAACATAGGACATGTATTTGCTGCTGAGAGGTGCACAACAAGGTGGTCTGAGCAGCGGTGATGGGAAACTCTGTTAGCACACTCTGAGCCCTGGATTGGGCTGGCAACACTGTGTGTTTAATCGCTCCCTAGCCTGGTTCTGTCAGAATGATCCAGGTTAGCAAAACTACTTTTCACCTCAAGGTTTGTTTATCAGTTTCAAAGCAGAGGCAGCGTGACAGAAAGGGGTTAGGGAGGATCTCCACAGTCCTGGTGGTGGGTTGAGGATGGCCATCTCTAAGCCTGACCCAGCCACAGCTGGAATGACATGTCCAGAGACCATGAACACTCAAAAGAGCAAAGAGAGAGAAAAGGGGGGAAAAAAAAGAAAAAAAGAGAGAGAAAAAAAAAAGAAATGCACGTACAGACGATAGCATGCCTCGAGCTCTGCACAAATGGTGTTTATCTCAGCGTCTGCCTTACAACAAGCCCTGTGACATGTGGTGGGATCCTGCCCATGGTCAATCTCTGAGCAGAGAGCGAGACCTTGTCCTTCTGCAGCTCTGCAATAGGTGTCAGCATTGAACGTAGCACAAGCTCCCCATATCAGAAGCAATGATGACAAACTGAATGCTTTGTCCATTAGGAAACAAAGCAAGTTTTAAGGAAAAATAATTCTGGGGTTTGTTTGTGGGTTTTTTTGGAAGCTGTTCTTTCCAAACATACTTTCTTGAGACCAGTTAAATGGAAGAGTCAGTGTCCTGGTTTTGCGTACAGCTGTCCCTACCATCAGAGTACTCAAACTCTAATAAACAGCAGCCCTCTGTTTTAAATAAACACTTAATATAAAATGGAAAGGCTTTATATAACCATCATTATTAGTCAGCACCTACAAATCTGAAGGGAAAGTTAGACAGACTTAATGAATCATCGTTCTCTCTCAAGGGGTGTAAGATAAAAAGTTAGGATAATTAAATCTCAAAGCACAGAACAGTCACTTGATGGTTGTTTTAAAAATCAGTAGTTATTCACTTTTGGAACCCCAAAGACTTTCCTGGTGCCCCAGGAGAACACCCAGCTGGGCTTGCTGCCTGTCAGCTAGGACTCAGCTGTCCTGACCATCCCAGTCACCCTGGGACCCACATTTTTAACAATCCTGGGCTGCTCAAGCAGGGTGACAACATGCCTGTGTCTAACGGCTGCCCTGTCTACAGGCAGGAGAGCTGCAACGTCACTGAAGTGGTGACTCAGCCAAGGTCAGAGCATTAGATATGTAGATCCCTGGTGAGATTTTGGATAAACTATTTCCAATTTGCCTGCAATTAAAAACACCCCTTGTACTACATTATTATTTTATTAGAGCTGCAGTCTTTGGAGTTAAGACACTTGCACAGATGAGTAAAGCCTTTTCATCCGTTCATTGCTGTGGTCGATGTGGTTATTTCTCTTTCAAGGACATTGCCTTGGTAATTGTTTGCTGCAGGACATCCAGCCTCGCCTCCAGGTCTTCCTTTCCCATCTGTAAAACTGAGATGGCAGCAAAAGGAGTTGAGGGAAGAGATGGATGGAGAGACAGAGGCAGAAGCTGGTGTGCAGAAACCCACACTCTCTCTCAGCAGGTGCTCTGTTTGTGACCTCCATCTGCCAACTGCTTTAGGTGGAAGTAGGCTCTTTTTCACATACTTTGGTATTTTTGGCGGGTTTACTAGTACAAAAGACAGTTTAAGTCTGCTCCAGTGGCCCAGAGAAAGCTCCATAAATCAACAGCTAGTGAAGGTAGAAGCATGGGGTGGGGGAGAAACTCAAAATGAAAACACTGCTTGGCGGTAGTGACAGGGCAGTGATAAAAAGGTGAATTGATCAATACTGTTATTTACTTTTTATAAATTGCTTTCAGTCTCTTGCCATCTCTGCTGGGATTCTGGCTTGCTCGGTGTTTACTCTGTGATGGATGATGAGGCCAGAAACACATGTCCAGTTTGTGTTTTTAATAGAATGCATAATGACTTGTGTTGGTAAATTATTCCCCTCCAAGGAGTACGATCTCACATGCATCAACCCCTTTATAAATGCCCTTCGTTATTGACCAAGCCAAAACAGCACTCTGCCAATATGTAATTAAAGAAATTTTTAAAATGTCATAAGAATACATTTAAGAAAGCAAGCATTTATAAACAGGAAAAAAACAAAATCAGAAACACAAAAATCTCAGGAAAGGTAAGGAATGAGAAGAGGAATAAAAGCAAATCAGAATCGATTACAAAAAGCAGCAATGAAAATCAAATTCCCAGGACTCAAGTTTTTCCTTTGTCATTCATTAGTTTTAGCAGCAGGTGCATAAATTATCAGTGCCTCTAGCAGGATATTTACCCCACCCCAGATCTATCTCCTTTCAAAATCTCCAAGTAGCAAAACCGGGACAGAATATCCCACTCCAGTAAAAGCACCAGAGTGAATCAGCTGCAAATGTCAGTAGAAGCTGCAGTGTTGGGGAGGGGGCAGGACAGGAGGCTGCCGGACACACTGCCGCTTGCAGACACACTCTGCCAGGCTGGCAGCAGGTCCCAGGCTAATCCAGTGCCAGCAAAGCTAGATTTGCTCGGCTCACAGATCCATCTTCTCGCTAGGACAGTGATTACACTGCTTAAGCGACTTAATCGAAGTTATCCATCTATCCAAATTCTGGTTTTATCACCCACAAGCAGATATACTACCTACTCCTTATCTGCAGTACTTCATGCCAAGGGCACAGGAATTGACTTTTTAAGATATATAGAGGTAATTTGATAAACATGCTATATAAAGCATAAATGCATAGCTAAAATGAATGGTAATTTCAGTATCTGTTTAAACAGCAACAACAACACACCTGTACCCTGAAGCAAATTTTACAACTAGCCCTTGGAGAGGATATTTGAGACAGGAAAAAAAAAAAAAAAAAAAAAAAAAAAAAAAAAACACAATCTTTTGTGTAACCAACTATCATTTTCCAGAGGCTAATAACAAATCCATACCTTATTTTAAGAGGTCAGGTATTGAACATACAAGAGTACACAACTATTAGCTTCTCACTGTTGGAGATTTTAATTTGTAAGAGATTTGCAGAAAACCTACAAAGACCTCATTGTATCAATAGAACTGAATGCAGCCAGTGAGATCAGAGCACTTATGGCATGTGTTCTGCTAATGGAGATGAGTAGTTCAGGATAACAAGAGCCACCTCTTCACATCCCTGTGACAAAAATCTCAGCTTGCATGTCTTCGCATCCCCGCCATTCAGAGCACCTCAGAGGTCCCTGCCAACAGCTGAGTTGCACAGCCCATGCAGCTCTCTGAACCCCATGGAGCAGAGAGGAGAGCACACCTCGCTCTTCCATCAGAGCAGCTGGCTTACAAACAAATGCAGCCCTCTCCCTGGGACAGAAACCAAGGTACTAGAGTATGGAGAAAACAAGAGTGATTTTGATGGCTTCTTGTCCCTTCACCCCTGGATGAAGTGCATGGAAGCAGAGCACATGAGGCAGCTCTGGTGTTGTGTTTTGCTTTGCTAATTTTCATTTAGCAAATGTAGGAGACTGAAATGAGGCTTGAGGGCACTGAGGTGCCACAGAAATGCAAAATAGAGTCAGTGAGAGACTTATCCCTTGGATTTCTTATTCATCTTATGGGGAATGGAAGGGGAAATAATGCTATATGCAAATATTTACATCATGCATCTTAATTTGCTGCATCCCTTTGCCACGCTGTGTTTTAGCAGGGGGACGAAACCCACCTGCCTGCGCACAGCCATGTGCACAGACCACAACCAGGGGCTTGCTCAGCCCAAGCCTTCTCTTTCTAATAAACCCTGAGACCATGGAGAAGATGAAATGCCCTCAGCAAACACCTGCCCCTCACCAGGAGGAAGCACAGACCCCCTCTGTGTGTTCATCCCAGTACCAGCAGCACCTGCCCTCCTCATACAAAAACCTCCTGGGCTTTCAGCCCTTTTATGAGGCTTCCCAGCAGATTTATGGTTCCTCCTGTAGCCAGCTCCATTACACAAATTCTTCCAATGCATCCATCAAGAATCCTCCTCTCCCCAGCTTTACTGAGCCCATCTCCCAATTAGTTCTGAGCCACAGCACAGCAAGAACTTGATCACTTTTATTTCTGTAGTGCTCCTCTGATGAGGTCGTAACACTTTCTGCCTGTGTAAGAGGCAGTGGCAAACCTTCCTAGACAGAGGAATTAACTACAAATGAACCTGCTGAAGCCAGGAAGTAAAACTCAAAGAAAGCAACTCATCTTTCATCTACAGTGTAGCTGAACCACAATGTTTTAGAACAAACTCAATTCTGTGGCCACAACACTGCAGGGGGTCTTCTGCTGACCCCTCCGGCTTGTCATCTCTTTAACCTTGCCCCAGTTTTACAGAGTAGGGAATAGGAATCCAATGTGGGAGGCAAGTAAAATCAATCCCCTATTTTAAAACAAGTTAAATGTCTTTCCTTGTCAGAAGGAAAGCTGTAAAGGCTGGTTCTAGATCTATACAAGCATTCAAATCAGCAGAACTAGGAGGAATTGAGTAAAACAGTTATTTTTACCTCTTTTCTCTTTCTGCTTGCATCACACTCCTGCAAGCACATCACGTATCTGCAGGACATACTCACCATAAGGCTGCTTGCTTTGGTTTTAATGGTTGAAACTAGCATATTTATCTGCTCAGTCAGAGGCAGAGTGACAAAATGATGATCGAATTTGCTAAGGGTCATGTGGACAGAGGCTTATATGGACTAATATATGAAAACAGAATTAGGATTCAACTAGCATTTCATGCTTCCACTGCATTTTCTGGTTGGCTGTCTTTTGCTCCATTTGTAAATATAATTTTGTCTTTGACTCAGCAAAGGACTGAAATATACCTTAAGTTTAAGCATATGCATTATTTAAACAATGTCCTGCAAACATGTTCAGTAATCAAAAAGATCAAATCTATTATATTGTTAAAAAACTGCTTTGTAGTTGGATAATGGGTATCTAACTATTTAAAAGCCAGGGGTCAGTTTCTTTTTATCTAGTGGTGATTTCAAAAAAGTGCGTGAAATCAATTTTTTAAACAAACTTCAAATGAAAACATTTTCAACATAAAAATATGTTTGAAGTGTAAATGCACATCTGAAGTAGATCCCATTTAAGTGAGACTCCACAAATAAAAAATAATATTCTTGCCAGCAACTCCCAGGTTTGTTTTGCTCTCCAGTCCCAGATTCAAACTAAGCTTTGAAGCTTAAATGGAGTGAAACCCTGACCATGCTCACGTCAGAAGTTTTTGCTACCAGATCCATCGTCCCAGGTTGCTACTGAGGTTGCAATGGCAACAGAGCAGGCAGGGTAGCAGGCTGGGAACCCAGCACAGTGAAATGTCCTTATGGGTACCCCACTGTTTTTGGAAAGCACTTTGATGTCTTCAGACAGTAATTGCTACCAAGCCATATGTTAAATACTGTGCTGATATTTCTCAGGATTATCCTCGTGGCACAAATTGGGGAAGCTGAGAAGAGAGAGAAGAAATAACACAGGGTGCAAAGCCATCACCCTGGTGATGTTCAAGTCATTCCTGAGAATCACCCCACTTAGACCAGAACACCTCCAATTAATGCACTGACTAATGCTGTAAATGCCAAGAGGTAATTGCAAATATCTTATCTATTTTAATGAAACCTAGTTTTTAAAGTGTCCCTAGCGACTCCATTCCCCAGACACAGCTGGGTCCATGCTCCTAAGGGCTTAAACACAAGATTCCATTACTGTAGTTTCACAAGTTGCCTTGTTTCAGCTGAGAGGTGGTGGCAGCCTCTGGGCATGGCCAATCTGAGACGATTCAATGCAGTTTACCCAGTAATAAAAGAAGGATGAGTGACATGAGACCTGCTCACATTTGTCAATAAGGAAAAATTCAATAACAAGACCTCAAGTTAGCCAGAAATTTGGGATGGATTTGCCTTTATCATCCCCTTACAGCATCCTCTCCAAGGAGGCCAAAAGGTCTTTAAATGAAAAATATACTTCAGATAGAAACAGAGATAATTAATCAAAAGTGAGCAAAGAGAAAAGAAAGAAAAAGGTTTATGTCTTGTTCTCTCAGTGCCCACCAAGTCCTGCCACGTGGATTTCTTCCTCCATGGCTGGTGTTAGTCAATGCAAGAATTCCCTGGTAAACCCTGTCCAGCACCCTCCTGTCCCTAAAGTGCCTTCCCCCCCACCATCTTCATCCTCCTCCTCTTAGCAGTTTCCCCTCTCTACCCCTCAAGCTGTGGATTTGCCTCACACTTCCTCTCATCCCTCCACCTCTCCCTGCAAAGGTCCCACCAGACTCACACAATTCTTTTTAAAAGGAACATAATACAACTGTGAGCAAGGAAATAAAAACAATATTACTAATAATACAATAAAATATTAGTTGTGGCACAGACCAACTGATCGGTTGAGACGCATCCTTTGCCCCAACCCTTCATGCAGCTTCTTTTCTCTGCAGCCACCAGCTCATGGAGGCAGGAACCACATCTCTAATTCAGTTTGGGATAAATCACAAACACTGTGAGTGCTACCAAGAAACCCCACTTAATCTTCTCTCTCTGTTGGGCCCTGTGGAAAGCAGCATCTCTGCAACTGCTAGCACCAAGTCTGAGCAATACTTACAGCTGATTGTAATTCCAAGCTCTACACCCCTTTTCTTGGGCAATTTAACGTGGAAAGTACCGCTGCTGGGTATGACAGACTCTATAAAACCAAAAACAGACAAAAAAGAAAACAGGAGAAAAGAGAGAGTTTTCAGTTACATGGATGGTTTCTTTGGAACCAAGAAAAAACAAGCCTATAAAACTCAGCTTTATTGGTTCAAATAAGGTTGTAACTTGAGGCCCTGAGGACTTCAGGCTAAAATCTGAATTCTCATTAAAAACACAGGCTCTGAACATCAAGTGAAGTGCTCACATCATGCTGTATTTCAAGATTGATACAGCTCTGTCAATGTAAAAGGAAATAAATTTTTCTTTTGTTTTTTTGTTTTAATACAAAACTGTACTTTAGCCCCAGCCAATAGCTTTGGCTCCCTTCTTGCTTCAAGGTCATAATTTAATATAAATATTATTCATATTAATAGGCAAATATTTAAAGTGCATGTGGCCTCTTCATCTACTCCTTAGGCTTTTCTCAGCTAAGTGGTGAGGACAAGGCATTTATAAAGAGATCAGAAGGACCCTCCATCTTGACGCACATTATAGAAGAAGGAGAAATGGAAAAGGTCATCACAGGGTCTTCTCACTCTTCCTTCTGAGCCCTAGCAAAGACCTCACGTATTTGTGTGAATATACTCCCTCCCACTGGTTAGCAAAGGCAATGAGGAGCAGCAATTCCTTTGGCAACATACCTGCGACATCAAATTCAATCTCAAGCACCACTTTGTTTGTGAGTGCAGCATCACGTAAAAGCTGGTTAGCTTCCTCCATTGTCCCATCCTCAGTTGCAATACCGTTGATAGAAAGGACTCTGTCTCCTACTTGTAGCAGCCCACACCTGCAGCCCACATTGGGAAAAGGGGACAAGGAGGCAGGGAAAAAGGGTAAAGGAGAAAAAAACAACCCCACAACCAGCCATGAGTTACTTTTGCCAGGCAAATCCATTACAAGACACACACAGTAGTGACAAATGCTGCAGAAGTGGCCCCAAAGAGATGATTACTCACTCTGCAATGCTCTTCCAGGGGCCAAGAGCCCCTCGAAGGTCACAGGGCAGCAAAGCTGCAAACCCTAGTGGTTTGCTTAATTTCAGACATACTTTGCTCCTAAATAACCATTTTTGGTCACATTTCCTGCAACTTCCAGGGAAAAAAAAAATAACCCTCATCTTCCTAAAATTCAACATCATGGCCAAGAGATGAGCGTGATAAATGCAATGGCATGTGTCCTCCTACCCTATCGAACACTATACACAGGCTCTTTCCGTGTGCCTGTGCCCTCTGAAACCTAAACTAAGGGCACTGAAAACCGCATGGATTCCTCTGCTTATTACACGGCTAATACTGAAGCTACAAGCCAATCAACTCCCTGAAATGTCTCAGTAATTGGATAATCATTTATGCCTTGTAATTGCATTTCTGGAAGCCAAATGTACATTGATACTGTTTAACTGCCTCAAAAGGCCAATATTACTCCAATGCAATAGCCCACCAATATATCCCCAACTGGCACTTTGAGGTTTTTGGTTTACACCCTCTTTCTTCAAGAGCACAGATCAGCAGGTTTTTTTACTGTGGAAGAAAAACAATGATGGCAAGGTGATGTTGGAGATATACTGGTACAACATAGTTCGTCTCGTGGAACCCCTATCTATTTATTTATAAGCAAGGTTTTTTCACGCATGGACTTTCCTACGTTCACTCCTCCATCATTAACGTAAGCTCTACAGTGGTCTCCAAAATAGGCTGAGAGTTTCAGGAACGAGGCTAAGGTTCACCTCTATGTTTGGAGTTAATTTACCATGCAGATTTCCCAGAAAACATCAGCTATACTTTTGTAAGCCATCTCCAGAGAATCTTTATTCCCTGCTCTTTAATGGTCAAGCACATCCTTTGCCCTTTCCATTCTAGATGTCAGCTTCCACTGATATTTCATGGAAGACAGCTTGGTTTTTACTAATCCTTCCATGGTACCACAACTTCCAGGAACACAAAGATAGCATAAAGGCATCGTACATTGGTTGTATTATTCACCTCCAAACAACGGGACATATATGCAAGGCCAGGTTATCAAGAAAAATGCACAAGCACAACAATCTCTGCTGGTGGTCCTTCAAAAGCTGAGATACAAGCAAGTTTGGAGAGAGCCTAGGGAGGTTATTTTACTGGTAGGAAGGTATTAAACTTGCAGTACACTTGCACTGCTGCCTGAGTTCATGCCACCCATGGAAAAACACTGGTTATTTTACAATATGTAAATTCAGAAGTGTTTGTTCAAGGAGACTTGGATTAGGACAGACAACTCTATGGTATATAAATGAATCCACCCTTGCGAATAAATTACATCAAGTTTAATTACAGTCCTTTACTGGACTTGTGGATATGCAGCCACATAGATGTGCTTGGAAATATCAGCTTATAAATATGAAGAAGGCAAGGAGTACGACAGAGACACCTCCTCCAGCACTAAGAGCTCTCTTGCTGTGGCCAGAATGCACCCTTCTGAAAGGAGGGATCTACATGGGCATCACACAAACACAATTTTACCATTTCAAGGACACAACCCATTTTAGCACCACTGTTTCAGCGGCAAGGGCTGGGAGATCACAAGATACATTTACTCAGCATCAAAGCAATCATTTGCCACCTTTCCCACCAGAGCTGCTGCCTTCTCACAAAACAACAGTTTCTTGTGTTTCTTCTCTCAAGGTAGATTTCCCTGGATGTTTTACAGCCAATAGCTCTGTTAGGTCAGAAATATTTTATTTCTTTTACTATTAGCCTCAGTCAATCATGTTTGGTAAGTCCCAGTCCCGCAGGTTTATAAAAGTGTGTGGAGTGAAGCCACAAGGGCAAGGACACCTGATGTGCTCTGCTAGCTCTTCAGAGTAATTCCAGAGATACCAGATTCAAACTGCCATGTGCTCTTGCACTGGGAGAAGGGCCCTAGGAGCCAAGGCTTCTCCAGACCTCTCCTTGGCTCTGCTGTGGGATCCTATACGAACCTTTTGGGTGGCTTTCCCAAAGAGAGGGCATTTGTCTCAGAGATGCAGTCTCTAATATCAGAGCTCACAAAGCGCTTTGAGATCACGGGAGAAGTGCTTTAAAATCAGAAAGAACCATAGTACAGGCATCTCCTGGAGTGAAAAACAGTCCTTTGGATGTGTTGGAGTTCATGGGACTGTCTCCCTGGGGCTGCAGAGATTTGCATTTTGTCATGATTCATTTGTTAGGCTCAAAGACAGCAACAGAGCAGTGGAGGTGTCTTGCTAGATGCAGAGCAGCACAAATTCAAGCCTCAGGCAGGATATGTGCTGAAGATCTCACTCGCCATCAGCATCCGTGTGGTCACTCCAGCTGTGGGATGAATGGCAGCAGCTGTTATCCCAGCCACATTGCTGGTTGCAGAAACCAATCTGCCATGCCCTTACATGCCCCTGAGTTGACCTGCACAGGTCAGACGTGCACATCTGTCTGTACATGTGTCTGCACATCAGTGGGTGGGTCCCAGCCTCCAAAAGATCAAAGCTTTGCTGATAGATTCATCCAGCTGCTAAACCTTCCTTTTGCAAACTATTCATACTCAAAAGCCAGAAACACAACGATCAAACAACTGT